TATATATATATATATATATATATATGCGTGTGTGTGTATGTGTGTGACAGAAGATACTTCAGCTTGACAAGCATCACAATCCTCGTCGTTCGTTGCCCGTGAAAATCATTAGAATCGCCGTGCTACTGCATGCGATTGAGATAAATTGGTACTCTGCGCTTTCCAACTCACCCACCCACGTAGAAACTTATGGGTACTCGTCCACAACGTGAAAACGGACGATCCATCATAAATACCCACCCACAACGTGAGAGCAGAGATTGGAGATTGGAATATCGACGAATACCGCGTCCTGTGAATTTTCTTACATCAATAATGTCACGTGTCTCTGGGGAAATCGCATACTTTGTAATTAACTCTCGTCACGAGAGCGACGCGTTCGCCATTAACATCACGCTCATTCCCGGAATGTAATAAAGTCTCGTCCATGTCAATCGAGGACATCTATCGACCGGATGTCGCGCCTCCTCTTCAAAAACGGCACGTTCGCAACAACGTCTTTCATTATCTTATAAAGGACGCATTCAACGGGCATATACAGAACCATCATTATGAATATGATAATAAATTATGCTAATAAATCGAATTATGATAATAAATCAAGATATGTTTGAATTTTATATTTATATTTTCATGTTTTATATTTTTATATTTTGAACTTTCACTCTCAACCTATGCCATTCGAGTCAATCGGAAAGTATCTCGATCGCCCGAGTCGTGCCGCTTTGGAAGACGAGACGAGGCACCGAGCGGGGACACAACGTCGGCGACGGCTCGGATTCACATTCTCTACCCCGGGAAACTCGCTGGAACGACGACATTCGTGACATCGGTCGCTTGGCTTCGCTCTAACATTAAAAGTACTTTCGGTAGAAATAAAAAATATATATATATATATAAATGTGAAAGGGTGGTCGTACCCGGCTTGTCTCGGGGCATTGTTAGACAGAGTGTGGATGACACGTCGGAACGTTTGTGGCTCCAGGGCAAGTATAAGTGCTATTAGAAGCGCCAACGCAGCGACGGCTATGCTCATCCAACACGCGCAGCTGGTGGCTCTACCAGGTGTCTCCGTCCTAGTCTTCGCTTCTATCGCATCGCCTGAGCAAACCGACCGTACAGTACCGTGCGTTTCTGTCATTTATAAAGATTAACAATTGCCATGAATCACCACGATCGTTTTTGTTTGATTGATTGATTGATTGTTTGATTGACTGATCGATCCCGATGATGTTCCACCGCCGTGTGATTAGTATGAGCAAGCCGAAAGTAGCGCAGGATAGTCGTACTCCGTACTATTCGAGAGAGTCGAGATTATCGAGATGATCTCGTCACGTAGTGTCGCTTATTCTCTCCGTTTCTCCGGCCGAAGGGCGACACGGGAGATGAAATTGATTCCGCGATTCCGAATGGAACGATGCGAGGTTTTCATGATGACGTGGTAAGGACCACCACCGTCGTAAAAAAGTTAACGACAATACGTATTCTCTGATATCCTGCCGTTCGAAGCGCGTGAACGCGCTTGAACGGACGTGGACGGGGTGACGATCGCACGTGACTGATCACGAGGTGAGTCTCGATGAGAGTATGCTAGTCCCAGAAGCCCCTGATCACAAAAGATTTCCAATACATCCATCCTCTGTAGCCAAGACCAACGGACAGAACAAGGAAGAACGACGACGTTGACACGTCGCGTGTAAAAAAAAAAGAAAAAAAGAAAAAAAAAACCGTTCTGTCCCTCCCCCAAAAAAAAAGAAGACAACGAGGTTTATTTCACGAGGTTTACCACCCAGGACGAAAAGCAACACTTAGATAATCGGGAGACCAGTCCATTAACACCGCATATCCGTCGCAATCTCCGCACAGCGTGGAGCGTCTCCGCGCGGCCCACCACGACGAGAAAGTGCGGGACCGCATTTCACAAGCTTTGTTTTTCCTTCTCTCGATCGCCCGGCCCTTTTTGTACGCGCGGACTACCGCCGACGTCATGCAAACACACACACATATGTATAACACAGACCAGAGACACAGTATTTAATGCCGAAGATCACGGATCATGCAGCATTTCCCATGCAAATAAACCATTCCCAACTTGCCGGTCGTTGCTGGAAGCGGCGAAAACGACTCCCAGCAACAACAACAGCTCCGGAGGGCCTGAAGTCCCCGCTCCTCAACGGGTTGTCATTTCAACTTTGGAACCGTTGTCTAAGAAACCTTGCCCTTTATCGGTTGGCAATTGCGAGACAAGGTTGAAGCGAACGGAAACGTCAAATTTGAAACCGAGTTAAAGCAAAGCTTCAGCTTTGAGTTCAAGTCGAAGCTAAACTTCAAATCAAGTCGAAGCGAACCTAAGGTTCAATTTTGAACTTGGCTAAAGTAAATACTTAAGGCTTTATCTTTGAAGTTAGAACAAATATCAAAGTTCAGCTTAAAGTCAAGTTAAAACGAGCTTAAAGCTGAACTTTAAATCGGATTAGAGGAAATCTAAAGTTCATAGCTTTAAATCAAGATAGGGCAAACTTAAGATCTGTTCCAAGCTTGGTTGTTTGGTCTCAAGTTGACGCTAATTTCAAGTTAAACTGAGCCGACTTAAGGAGAGACTCGAAGGTAACTTTAACTGCACCGAGACCAGAAGAATAATTCCCGTAAACGTCACTTCGGTGCCCTGCCGAGGCGAACGTGGGTACCGCGGACAAACCAGCGCGAGGACTTCGCAGCCCCTCACGTTCCCGTTCACCTTCATCCCCTAGGACACGATCTTACACATCCAACACTCGACTCTAATTCTATAGCGTCCAGAAGACGCGTAGCGGACTCAGGAGCGATCGACCGTCCGACCGACTCGGTTGCCCCCCGACGGCGGCAATGTCGCGCAATTCCTTGATCGAAAAGCCCCGTCACCGGCAGCCAACAAATATGTAATAAATTAATCAATCACTCCCCGAGCGAACATCGAACAGTCGTCGAAACGGTGATGTGCTCTCGAGTCACCGTGCAGCTAGCGGAGAGAGAGAGAAAGAGAATACTAGTCAAGGGTGCACGAGGAGGAGGATGGATGCATGCGAGGGTACAGGGCTAGGGGTGAGGTGGGTGGGTGAATGGGGGAGGGGGGG